ATTCAATTTTTTTTTACTACCGGTTCTGTGGGCGTGGCTTGGTGAGCATGGCAGGGGAAGGATACTATAAAATCTCCAGTCAGAGGTGGTATTTGCCGGTTCTCCAGAACTGGTCAGAACTTGCTGAACACCACCTCTGATTACCACCATCTCCTAAGTAAAGATTCACAAATATTAAAAAAAGTAAAGTTCCTCTTCCATATGCAGTAATATTTTATAGAATGAGCAAGGATGCCAACTTTTGACCACCTTGCTAATTCACTCAAAAGAGCAGCTATAGTGAGCTAGAAGGTAATTAATTTGTATTAAGCGCGCTTGAGTATGAGCCTTAAATGTAATTAAGAACTCAGTAGAAGCCACTCATTTGGCGTCTTGAGTGGACTCTAGGGAGAGAGTAATCCAGGCTTCTCAGCTGGCAAAGGCCATTGGCAGCTGTACAAAGTTTTGCTTTTGGGGGAGAATGGCCTATTGTTCCAACACAGTTTAAATTGTACAAATGAATATATGACTAGATGTGTGTTATCAGATTGATGATCCATTCCAATCACTTTTGCAATTGCCCCAAATACATAGTGCTTCTAAATGATGAGCTAGCTATATCATAAGTTATAATTTATCATATTAATTTATCAAATTATTAAGAAATCATACATTTTGTTTCACTCTAATCTACCTTATAAACAAGTGAAAGAATTCAAGGAAATTATGGGGAAGAAAAACCAGAAGAGAACCCTATGTACATTTATCTTGAGCTCCTGAAATGAAAGATGGATAGAAAACAAAACAAACTATTCTTCAATAATATAAGATGTTCCAGGATATGGATAACTGGATAAAGCAGCATTTCCTGAAATTTAGCCTTTTACACGCATGGAGAGTATAACTCCCAGCATGTTTCTGGAAATAATCCCAACGCATCTGGAGGATTCTCACATAGATAATGATGGGTCAAGTAGGGAAGTCTAGTTATTTGTGTTTCTTTCTCTTTTTTTGCAACATATGTTTATCTACAACCTATTTCCAGGATATTCCAAATACCAACAGATCAAATATTTCAGATTAGGATACAATTAGGAACTTGTTTCTCATAATTTTGAAAAAGTGAAAAAAAATAACAATGATTATTAGCTGAGGCAAGGAGAGAGGAATCTAGTTTTTATTTCAACATTAATAAGCTGAATGTAAAAGCATTAGGAATGCAACTTTTATTTCTCAGGAAAGGCTTTCGTCTTAGATCAGTTGCTCAACCTCTTCCTAGGAAGAAGAAAATCAGGCCTTCTATGAAGTGCAAACAGCTGACTAGAAAGAAGAAGCTACTAGTTCAGCCTGATTTGTGTCTGAACTAGAAAGATATGAAACTTCCTTGAGGTTTCACAAGCCCCCTCTTTAACTCAGGTCCATTTGTTTGGACCTAAGAATCCTTCTCCATGTTATCTTTCATCATACATCTGTTTGATAACGTCATCATCTGTTTCTTAATTGAGCTTATTTATTTGTAGATCAGCTGTGGTTCCATCTGTGTGGTTCCATCTCTTTAACCATTTTCCCTTCTGAAAGATGAAAGACTATGCAGATTATGTTGGTTCGTCATTAGGAGAAACTAGAATGTTACCGGCATGCAACTTCTATTAGCCTGTCCTTCAACATCATAGAGGTTAAAATGAAATGTCTTCCTAAGATGCTATTATTTTATATGTATTCCCAAAAAGCAGAGATGGTGTCTTGATGGCTTTCCCTGTCCTATTATTTGGAATTTGTACCAATATGAAACAAATATATGCATGGGAGCCTGATCCTGCCTTTCCAGCTTCTGATCATCTCAAAAGCACTGGTTATGTTTCAAAAATCAGTTCAAGATGTTTGAGAAGAACTGGTAATAGAAGTCGTGACTATGGAAGGACCTTTTTCTGGCAGCACTGTAAGAGAAATTATAAACTTCCAAGGTATGTAATTTTGCTACACTTACATAAAGTAGCTTTGTTTTTGGTAATTCCTTGTAAACTGTTGAATCAAATTTGTTGGAGCTTATAATCAACATTAAAGCCATGTTCAGACAAACTGTAGTTTCTTAGTATGATACGTGATTGCAACTGTAATGTTGACAATTTTCATTTTATTCTATTTGATTTAGTTTTTCTAGTTATGTTATTATAATAATTACACCACCGAATTATTATATTAGAAGGTTTTAACCTAGCAAGTTGTATGACGGGGTACCCAGCTCCTGGTCTGTGGCCTGGTGCCAGTCCGCAGCCTGTTGGGAACCAGGCCGTGCAAGCGACAGGCGAGCGTGTGAAGCTCCATTTGTACAAGTAGCGGGCACGCGTATGTGAGATGTTTAAAGTTATTTTTCTCTAAGTAGTACAGGGAGGGATGATGGAAGAGTCATTGCCAAAAAAAAGGAATACAGGTAATCAAAGGTGGTATTCAGCAGGTCTGACCAGTTCTGGAGAATCGGTAGCAGAAATTTTGAGTAGTTCAGAGAACTAGCAAATGCCACCTCTGACTGGAGATTTTACAGTATCCTTCCCCTGCCACGCCCACAGAACCAGTAGTAAAAAAATTTGAATCCCACCACTGCAGGTAATCCTTTACTTACAACCATAATGGATTGTGATGGTTGTAAAACAGGTCACCCATCTGATTTTACAACTCTGTTGTGGTCATTAAGCAAAGATAAAGCAGTCATAAAGCAAATGTGGTCATAAAGTGGCTGCTGTGGTCATTAAATGAACAATGGTTTTCCAGTTTTGCCAATGGGCCCGTTTTGGCAAAAATAGGAAATAATGTTGGTTTTCAGCAAAACTGTTGCAAAACATGATCATATGACTCTGGGACACTGCAAACTGCCATAAATGCAGGCTGGTTGCTAACTAACATGCAGTCCCATGACTGTGGAGGTGGTGAGGGGCAGCTGTCAGGAGTTTGGAACCTTCACAGGGAAGTATATTGTACCTTTGAATGGTCGCTAAGTGACCAGTCCTAAGTGAGGGACTATCTACAAGCTTAAAATGTGCTTTGAGATGGAAATGCTTTGCCATAACAGAACAGAGTTTACCCAAGACACCCACATAGACACACGCAGTGTGTTAAGTTAGCATGTGGCTTATTTTTAGCTGCGTGATGGGGGATTGCAACCACATGATTGTTTCAACAGCCTATTGCAAGGGTTTTCAAACTTGGCAAGTTTAAGACTTGTGAACTTCAACTTCCAGAATTCCTAAGCTAACATGATTGGAGGAGGAATTGTGGGAGTTGAAGTCCACAAGTCTTAAAGCTGTCAAGTTTAAAAACCCCTAGCCTGTTGCTTAAGCTCAGTCATACACTTCATAGAGAGCTGGATGCTTACAATATAGTAGGTGATTCTCCAGGGAATGACATCCGAGGGTGAGAAAAAGTAATATGATGTAGTCACTTGAAGTAGTCATTAAATAAGAGTTCTTTGTGAAATGAAAAGGAAACATGTTATTTTGACTTTTTCCTTCAGATTTTTTTTTATTTCAAAACTGCCCAGGTTCAAATGTAATGGGGAAAAATGGTAGTTTTTACTCTACTCCCTTCTATTCTCAATGGAACCTCATCTTTTTTTTCCAGAAAATAATGAGTATATTCAGAGAGAGAGAGAGCCGTTTCCTCTTTTAGTGTATAGATCTACTTATAGCTTTCTAGATTTACTGGATGTAGCAATTATATTTAATTGGGGCTTTTACAACTTGTAAAAAGTAAATAACCTGCCTGTTTTGACCAGAAGTAACTTGCAGTACATTTTTCATTTGCTACCTGATAGCACAGATTTAATATGAATATAGTTGGTGAATGAATTCTGTGTCATTATGAACCACATTCTGAAATTCAACGTTTGTTTTAGGGTGAAATAAATTTGACATTCCACAATACAATAAGTTTTCTTTTCCACCCCAAATCTACATAAAATACACATTCCTCTAATTTAAAAATGAATACTATTGTATAATACTGTATAAGTACTATTGTATAATGAACTTGAATCATTGCGCATTTAATTTGTATAATTATGTTTTTAACTTGAATTTTTCTGCAATAAGCTCTATTGTTAACTATGGGTTATCTTTAAAACTGGACATTTTTAACTTGGATACTTGGTCTAGTTACTGAGGCTGAATTAACACAGTATGCTAATTTAAGGCTAACCTACCTTTTTGCTTGTCCAGTGTATGAACTTAATAATTAGCTGTGATGGTATAACACGATGCAATATAAAACAATACTGTGAGAACCATGTTATTACTTATTTTCCCATTCAACTCTTAAATCCAAAATGGAATCAGAAAATCAGCCTGGAAATTCATAGTTAGATTCTGAATTCTAGGAAATACCTTGTTGATTATTACATTCTTGCTTTTATCTTTAGATATTTTCAGGTCTCGTATTATATGAGGTGCAAATTTGAATCTTATCTTGACTTAAGGAGTATTATGGTAGAGCAGCTACAGCAAACACTCAAGACTTATTAATGCCCATTGCTGAGTTCTGCTTCATCCACACAACTACTTTGCTTCCTGAAGCCAGGAGGAACCATAATGCCATAATGCTCGTGCTCCTGCATTTGTGCCATTGCTTACCTGGAACAGATCTAGGTTGTGTTGCTCTCATACAACTTTAACACACAACGGTCTAAGGCAGGGCTGTCAAACTCACGGCCCACGGGTCAGACGTGTCATGTGCTGGTCACGCCCATGCCCGATTTAGCGAAGGGGAAAAAAGCTGTGATACATCACATGACGATACTGTGACTATGCACGTTTGACACCCCGGTCTAAGGGCTGTGATTCTTTCAGTTTGAAATTCCAGGGATACTTTTCATGGGAATTGAGCTGCCAACTGGCTCATACAACACTCTTGTTAGTCCACACATTGCAACTGCAGTTGATTGGTCAACTGTTCATCTTTCCCACAAAAATTAGCAGGGCTTTTAGGCTGCCATCTAGTGGTCCTATGAATTTATAAAGTTGCTGGATAACCTTTTTAAGAGCTGAAATTTGAGAAAGGAATTTACCATGATGGAGCTAAAAACTATTAGTTACATATTGAGTTTCTAGGTCACCTAATTCCAAAGAGATTCTAGGCAACTTCACCAGGTATAACAAAAAAACATACAAAAAGAAGCAATATCCAAAGAATCACATGATCTCCAACCACGTCATTACCAATTCTAGGGGGGCTATTCCATATTCTATCCAAAACCTAAGGGGGAAAAAAAGAAACAATTTTTCCGGAATGGAACACCTGATGTTCTCCTCAGGGTGCATCAGCTGTGGGTGGACAATTAAGTGCAAGCTGTGGCACTCACAATCCTCTAGAAACACTTAGCATGAATTCTCCTTATGTTATGGCAAGGAAACTGTGTAGATATATATGGCAAGGAAACCATATGGATTTGTCCATATATGTTTTTTAAAGTTATCAAAAAGCAACTACAAAGCCTTTATGATATGAAAACTAACTGTATCTGCAATGAAATTTAGATAAGAGCATGCTAGACAGTCACATACTCACATGTTTTCTGGTATTTTTTCCTCATACAAGATATTTTTCCTCCCAAAATTGCAGAGCAGCTTCAATGGATGCATTGCCAGAGCATGCTAAACTAGAAATACAGTTTGTGTGTCATCCAGACCAGAGGCTCTTTATCTAACATTCAGTTAGATAAACAATTCATCTTATTTGGGCTTCTTATAATATTAGACTTGATAGGGAAGAATATTCTGGAATTAATATTTTATTTTGCCTCAAAACACAACATCAGGAGGCTAAAATGACTCCCAAGTAGGCCGTTGCAACCAATCACACTATTTCTCCCACATATTTGAAAATCTCTGCCATTGTGACTCCCTCTTTTAACGAGCCATTGTGGAATATATTTATTTACTCCTGTCCTTAGATAGTATATCATTTAATTAAACAACAAGAACTAAGTTTCAGCCACGTAGGGATGGATAGGATTACTAACTAAAATGGTGGGCTTTGGATCAGCAGACCAATGGATGACCTCTTTACTCATGGTTTGTACAAGATTAGCTTTGATATGCTGAATAAACATAAAGATGTAGATAGGCAGTAAGGAAGGTGATTGATGGAGGGAAGCAATTCTGACTTTCTCACTGATAGATTTACTGGTGCAGAGTATAGCAATTTTATCTCTCATCCATTCTTTAAAACTGTAAATGGAAAAGATTTAAAGGTTTTACCGAATGAGGTGGACAACCCCTATGTCCTACCATACCATTTTTCCCAATGGATTCTCTCCAATCCCAATAATTTTCTCCAAGTATTTAAGCTGAGCTTGAGAATTTTAGGGGGAGTAAAGGATTTAAAATAATCACAGTGGCATTTACAGTACAAAATCTAGGAGTGGAGAAAGGGATCAGCATTTCCCTTCTGCCTGCATGCCCCTACCGCTTCTTCATCAACTCATTAGCCATTTATCACATCAAGTCATAAAATACTTTATTGAATACTGTACAAATGTATAACTTCAAGATTATATATGTGGTGGTTTCTCTTAATTTTATCGCCACTGTCACAATCCTTAAGATAGTTCAGCGTAGTGTCTCCCAGGAAACTCTTTAAAGGGACTTTAACCTCTCCTTGTTCCCTGTCTAATCTAACAACACTTATAAAAGGACACAACTGCCTTGCCAAATCCCACTTTCTTTCCCAGTAACTAGCCCTATCTCCCTATTATAGATTGCTCTTAGCTTTGTGTAGGCATTTTTAAAATAAACGCTCCCTTTTCCTAAAAAGCCTAATTTCTCCTGCTTTTAAATTTTGCCTAAACGTGGCTTGACCTCTGTCTGACTGCTTCCAGTGCACCTCTCAGCACCTCTGCTGCAAAAGGAGAAGACATCCTGATCATGCCAATCAAGCTCTTTTACCTGCTTTAGAAATGTCTTCATGACCCACTTCTTTCATTTTCTGGTTGACTCACTCCTTTTGTGATTGTGATTTCAATTACATCTATCTGTCCAAAAAATTAATATAAATCACCATTGGACTTTGTGCTATTTTAAAGGAAGAGAGAAGAAACCTTGTCCTACTTCCTCATGAGTAAACTGTCTTCACAAGCAGCTGCATATCTAGTACTTCAGGTTTTCTTTTGAACAGATTCACCCCAGTGGTGGGATTCAATTTTTTTTTTACTACCGGTTCTGTGAGTGTGGCTTGGTGGGCGTGGCAGGGGAAGGATACTGTAAAATCTCCAGTCAGAGGTGGTATTTTCCGGTTCTCTGAACTATTCAAAATTTCTGCTACCGGTTCTCCAGAATTGGTCAGAACCTGCTGAATACCACCTCTGATTCACCCTTCCCCTTTTAACCTGATCAGCAAGGAAATCCCTAACGCAAAGCTCCTGGCAGGATCTTTCTATTAAAACTATTGAGCCCTCTCACTGCCTCAAGTTGATAATCCCTTGTGAGGTACGGTTGAAGAGTAATTCTGGATTCTGTGAAATACAATTAAATATAATCACCAAGACATACCCTCTGCCTTATCCACTTTTTAAATACCAAACTTTTTCTCAAAGTGGGCTCTTTTAGTTCAATTCCAGTTAAGCTGCTTTAAACACTTCACAACTAATGAAGTTCTTAAGCACTTCAGGTTACTTTTGGCTCTAAAGCTTTAAAGCTAAAGGTGTTTATAAAGATGACTGGTTTTTGAAGGTGTTTTTGTACCCCACAGAAAATATCACAGCTACTGACATCTGCAGTTGTTAGAAAAGAGCACCTGTTGATCCTCAAATAAAATGCTTCGTAGCACCTTTTCTTGAATTAATTCACAATATTTTTGCAAATAAAAATTAAGGTTTTCTGAAAAATACTATTTACATTCGATTTTTCATAACTTTCTATCATCTCATCTGGAGAACTGTTGACAGGGATGTAGGTAAACCAAAGTAAACAAATAAATGAACTTTCTTGGTATATGTATCCAGACCTGAAACAGCAATAATTTGAATTGTACTTTCATGCAACAGAAAGGCTACTTCAACAGACAGAATTGCATGGGGGCAATTTAGAAATTACAATATGTATAACACCGCACTGGCTTGTAAACTTTCAAAGGTAACCACTCTGAGTAATACAGAAGATAAGGGTTAGTTGCTCAGCCATAAAGTGATTTTCTTGGTACACCCTGGCTGATAGCTTTCTTCTGTGTTGTCATTCAGTAAGAAGGGATTATAATTACAAATATACCACTTTTTTATCCTAATTAAACCAATAGATTTGGATTTTTGTGCTTAGCTTAATAAAAAGTTTCATATATACTTTATTGATTAAACTGTATTGCATTTTGAGGGTTTTATTAAATTGTAATTATTATCGATGCAATGGACAGAGTTCAAAAAACTAGCACTCAAATCATACAATCATGAAACTAGGGAGGATGAACAAGTAAGATTCTGTCCTATGGCAGAAATCCTGTTTTGTTTCTTAGCCAAATTCATTCAATGTTTCCATTCCAAGGAATTGACTAGGGAAATCGATGCTGGTACATCACCTTGCTAAGAACAGTGAGTGAGGACAGCTTGTAACATAGTTGTATGAGGTAGGTTTTTCAGTGCTGGAAAGTAACAAAAGGCTACAAAAAAAAATGCAGCACATAAAGCTTAAAATATGCAGCCTGCTGAATTTGCCATTGGTAGACAAAGGAAATCTATCCCCGCATCAGAAGCCCTCTATTCTTGGGAGGGAAATACCGTTTTAGAAGTACCACTGCATTGTTACCTTGCGGCTGAAGGAGAGATCTGAGACTTACAAAATGAGATTCTTGGCTTGTCTCAGATTTCGCTTTAGGGATCTGATCACAACAGAATTTGGTTGCTCAAACTCTGGGACCTTTCAGCAATTTAAATGAACTTAGCTTATAAAATATTGACACTGTAATCTGATTAACTTGTACATGTCTGATACTTACCATACAGATAAAGGATTAGCTATTTCAGAGGTGATATTCAGCAGGTTCTGGCCACTTCTGGAGAACCGGTAGCGGAAATTTTGAGTAGTTTGGAGAACCAGCAAATACCACCTCTGACTGGAGATTTTACAGTATCCTTCCCCTGCCACGCCCACCAAGCCACGCCTACAGAACCTATAGTAAAAAAAATTGAATCCCACCACTGAGCTATTTGTTATATAGCTTGTTCCTATGCCTCAGTTTAACCAGGAGTAGGATACAGATTTTTCCCCCCTACCTCATGAATACCTTTGTTTCCATTGGAAAGTGAGGAAATGAGAAAGGGAAGAATTGTAACTAGGAGTAATAGTTAAAATGGAGTTTGGTGCCTGTCTGGACAGTCCTGGACAGTATTCTCTTAATGTCTGGATTCACATATTGTGCTAACTATGGCTTGTTCAACCATGGTTTATAAATAATTAACAAATCACACTATGATTTAACATGTGTAGACCCTGCTTAGTGTGGGAAGATATTGGATTTTGTTCCTCCTTACCCAATGGTACTCTACTTCTGCACAGAAATCCACGGGACCTATTCACCTCTATAGGCAGGCAAGGAGGTGAAAATATTTGGCAGGAATGAAACTATTGTCTATTTTTCAAGTGAAATGTGACTGACAAAATAAAGAGTTCTTTGCATACTTCAAAGTATTTTAGGGAGTGATAAGATCTGCTTATTTTAAGTGTGTGCGAAGTTAGCCAGTGTTAAGCCAACATGAACTATATTTATTGAGGCAGAAAATTGGTTAATGGAAAAGGAGCCCTGCTGCATGGGACAGGCCCAATTTTCTATGTCACACAATGATTAATTGCATGCATGTGGGAATCTTGCAACTAGACCACTGTTGCTTCACAGAAGCCAATGTCTAAGACATGCTCCCTCCTTAATACATGATATAAGAGGAATCAGGGATTCCTTCCATTACTCCCACAAAGAGCTATACTTACATGAGACAGCATTAAGTGTATTTTTTTTCTACTGGGAGGAAAAGGCATTTTCAAAAGCAGTAGGAGTTATTGCTATAATGCTGTTATGTCCCAACCTCCAGCAGCACTGACTCAAAAGAAAAGGCCACCAGGAGAGTACTAGGTTGAGGAAGACTGATCTTAGTCCCACTTTCCCAGCCTTTTCCCAACATTCTTAACAATAATTTTAAAATAAAAAATAAAAATTATGGGTTACAGTATTATTTCAGATCACTGAAGTCTTTTAAATGCACCATGTCTATTTCCTGTCGTATATAAGAATACATACCCAGATGCCATTCACTGATCCATAAGCAAGAAAAGAGTAATTAAATTTGATGGCTTTTTAAATTGAAAGATCTATTGTGACTCAAATTTTTCTTGACTGAAATTAGAAATAGCTTTACTCTAGCTTTTTCCTAGATATACAATTTCCCCAAATAGTTAATAGATGACTTTCTGGGAAAAAAATCTAATAACCTGTCAACTTTAGGTGATAAATACAAAGTACAAAAGGCACTAGATATTAGCCAAAGAGAAAAGACAAGATAGTAGGAGACAAAAAACTTCCAAATAGATGTTAGTTCCTGTAAATGATTTTGAAATGCAATTGTTAATTTTTTAACTAAAGAATAGTTTTTGAAAGTGCTTTGTGCAATCTGGCCTAGTCCACCAAGTGTGTATTTTTCAGAAAAAAATGCTTATTTTTATTATTCGAAGATAACAAAAATAATATGCTAACTGTTGTGTTCAGCTTCAGAACTGATGATTGTTTTCAGTTTACAGAATTCAAAGCATACAACCAGTGTACCAGAATGGAAGATATGAATCCTGAACTCACCAAAATACAAGGACCAGCTTTGTAATTATATTATGAAAGCTTAGTGCTTTCCTGAACTGATATCAAGTTCAAGTTTTAGA